GTGAATCAACCGGATCCACAGTGGTTTGATTTTGCAATGATTTATCATATCTTTCTCGCAAATCCCATCCAAAAAACCATCCATCAAATGCCCACTACAAGCTCCTTGAAGAGACACATCAACCATCTTTTGAAGCCTTCAAACCCCAATGATGAGGAACATCAAGAATCTGAGCAACTTGTCTTTGAAATCTTGTTCTATAGGCTTCACACACCACCTTCACCTTTTCAGACTTGATTTCAAACAGATCGAGCTTGAGCTCAGCCTACTCAGCAATTGACTATTTTGCACGTCAATTCTTAAGGTGTCTCACAAAACCTTAGGATGTAGGGTTTATATTCAGATTTCACTGTAGCGGAAGTTTACAAGAACTACCAGAGTGTCTCGTGGTTAAGTAATGATGATAATCTACACAAGTTGTGAGTAAAGTTGGAACAAGTCGAGTGAGATTCATTTTTATGACAGAAAATATATGAACCCTAGATTGAAATCGATTTGATTCAAAGTGCAATGTTCCAAAATATGATGTATTGAAGTTGGGTTTTGAGGATGAATTTTTGAACTTGTAAGGGTTAGACTGTTCGTCTAGTAAAGTGCTACGTGAGCTGGGTTCAGTACGACGTGAGTCAGTACGGCTTATATCTTCAGGAAAGAAAGATAATAACTTCATAAGATCTCCTAGATAAATCAAGTCGTAGGCTTGCGTAGATTTGAACACGGGGAATGCAAGATTTGACGCGGTTGTAGGGACCGCATGTCTAACACAGGTCCATAGTGGAACTGTCTGGATTTTAGCATTATTGTAACACTAAATCACGTCGTTAACGCACCCATAGTGGATGCTCTTAATACATGTAACTACTGATTTCTGAAGTTTTGACATTCTTTTAAGCTGGATCTTTGCCTGCCTAGAAACTTTGAGATTAGCTACTTTGAGCTCCTGAAGGGTCCTTGGCGGAAGAGCCCAGGGTTCTCCTAATTGATTCTCATTGACATTCACCTGTTTCAACCTATTTCCGCTAATGGGGTGGGGAAAAGGTGTTCCTCTATGATCTATGAGTTTATAGACATTCTTATCCAAAGAGCCAGAAATCTCGAAAGGTCCGGACCAATGAGGTTCACCTTTTGTGTGAGATTCATTTCTTAACTTGACAAGATCACCAATTTTATAAGTCTTCAACCTAGAACTGCTTTTATCACTGTCATCAGGCTCAAATTGAGCATTGAATTTCCTTTTATTCTGATTTGCTCGTTGAGTTGACGCCTCCACAGCAGCTTGTCTGCTAGCTCTCAGTTTCTCCAGGCAAGAAGTCTGGTTGGAGCATGATTTGGGAAGCTTAGCTGGTCGTAATTTTGCTGGATCATCTAACAGACAAGGGCTTACACAATAGAGGAGCTTGAAAGGAGACCAACCCGTAACAGTGCTCTTATTCACACGACACAAGAACAAGGCTTCTGACAGATATTCATGCAATCGAGACGGGTCCTTGGTGGTATTGGCTTTGAAGTTAGACTTTTTCTAAAATTCCGTTAAAGTGTTTGTTCTTACCGTTTGTACATGGATGGTATCCTGGAGTTTTGATTTTATGAATGTGAGCGCCTTGATAGAAGGCTGCCATTTCTTTGGATAAAAAATTCTGACCTCTGTCAGTAAGAATTTCCAACGGTACACCATACACTTGAATGACTTCCTTAAGAAGTGCGTTGGCTACATTAGTCAAAGAGGCTGTTTTCATTGGAACAGCTATTGGCCAAATCGTGCTGTGGTCAATAAGGGTCAGAATCCACTTGAACCGTCTTCGCTTTCGGGCAGGGAGACAAAGTCCATAGCCAATCTCTCAAATGGCTCCACCGCTGGTAGAGGCTGCTGCTTAGAGACTTCCTGATCTTTATCTGGTGAATCGTAAATTTGACAAGTAGGACAAAAACTACAGAATTGTTTTACATCTGAGTATCTCCCCGGCCACCAACCACACCCCTTGAGTAAGCTGATGGTGCTGTCGCGACCTCTATGGCCATACTTGATGTGGAATTTTTCCATAAGTTCCGCCCACTGATAGAAAGGAATGAAAGGACTGAGTTTGCTCAAGTCTTTTGTACCCTTGTACAGTCGGTGACAAAAAGTTTACGTACCTGTAGCAGAACTCGCCAATTTGGCAACTCTCAACGAGCTTATCTAGCTCTCAATCTCACTGTTCATGTACCTGGAAGTACATGGTCTAGATGACCACTTAGCAGAGTACATATGAATGGATTTCAGGATTCACAAATGTGATGTAGACTCTAAAATACAATGACTTTTACCAGCGAGTGTGTCCGCCCTTTGCTTTGAGCACAGCCTTGATTCGGTCAGGCATGGACTCGACTAAAGCTTGAAACTTGCTCTGAGGTATTGCTTTCCACTTGGTATACAGTGCTTCACGCATTTCTTGAACTGTTCTGGGTTGGTGCTTTTCAGAGACATTTTTTTTCATGATGTTCCAGATGTTCTCAATCGGGTTAAGGTCTGGACTATTTGCAGGCCAATCTAACTTTTGAATTGAATGATCATCCCTCCATTGTTTCGCCACTTTGCTTGTGTGTACCGGGGCTCCATCCTCCATCAAGATGAGGTCTGGTGGACAGTTAGGTGAGGTGATGAGTGGTTCGATAATCCGGCGATACACCAAATCGATAAAGTCGGCTCCAGTTCGACGTCCCACCGGCATTACTATCATTGGTAAGCGAAGCTCAGCTGTGAACGCCCCCCAGATCATTACCGAAGTCCTTCCACTCTTGAAACTTGGGGATAAACAGTCTTGGTTGTATTTTTCACCCGGTTTGCACCACACCCGAACCTTCTTCACAGACTTTCCGATCTCGAATGAGGATTCGTCGGTCCAGATGACCTTCCTCCACTTGTTGTAAGTCCAATCTTTGTGTTTTCTAGCAAACTCAAGACGCTTCAGAACATGTTTGCTCTTGAGATAAGGCTTGACTACGGCAACTCAAGAGTGAAAGCCAAGTTTTCGAGCCTCTGATCGAACTGTTGAAATACTGGCTTTTATGGGTAGCTTGCTAGCGATACAGGCAGCCGAAGCACGTCGGTTCTGTTGGATCACCCGCTTCAAGGTTCGCTGATCACGTTCTGAGAAAATTTTTGGTCGTCCGAGCTTTTTTGAGATTGTTGATTGGCGTCTTTTGCGGTCGTTATAGATCACTGTGTAGACAGTTGACTTGGGATGGCCAAGTTTCTTGGCAATTTGAGTGCCAGGAATCCCAAATTCGTGCATATAAATGATAGATTTCTTTTGAGTGGGAGAAAGGGTGCAAGTCTTCATTTTCAGAGACAATCTGGATGAGGTATGGAGGAGTGATTCAAGATACAAAGTACCCATAGACTGGGCTAGACTAATACATATGTAGTTGAGGTACGTAAACTTTTTGGCACCCACTGTACATAAGAATCTCCTCAGCCTTATTGAACTCAAAGAGTGAACATCCCTTGACAACTTGTTCCAAAGTCGCTGGAGTGACCCAACTAGGTATGGGTCGTTGGAGCAGGACATATGGAATTAACAAAGGCCAATCCAAAGGGTCTTGTAAACCTTTGGATATGTCCTCAATCAAGGTAAGATAGTGATCCCTTTGACGACTGAGAGCGTCAGGAACAATATTAGTAGAACCCTTCTTATATTTGATTCGTACTGTCATTTTGGCAAACTCCTTGACCCATTGACTTATCCAATGCGAGGGAAGCACCTGTTTAGACAATGTTGTGAGAGTAGCATGGTCCGTTTGTACAATTGTATCTTCTACTGCTCCTTCTAAATAATTTCTCCACTTCCGCAAGGCGTGGATGATGGTGTATTATAACTCCTTCTCTTGTGCAGGGTAGTTTTGCAGGGCTGAGTTCAGGGGTTAGGGTAAGGGTTAGGGTTAAAATGCAGCGTATAGAATCGCAGTCAGAGCTTTTAAAGGCTCCTCCAACGAACTGATGATGCATGATATGTACATGACCCCCTTTCACTACACCAACCTACATTTTTTCCTAGGGGTATAGAAAAGTACTTTGTACATAGAAAATAATACTTTTTGACTCATACAGCGCACTTTTCTACGCTTAAAGACAAAATTGGTGACTGTAGAAAAGTACATATATGTATACATTTCTATAGTTTATATATGCCTGATTGGTTGCTTGGCTGATTGAGACATCAATGGTCTTTTTTTAAAAGTTTTGGACAATACTTGGAAAAAACTCATTTGGACAGCTCAAATTTGACAGATTCTAGTACAAAATTGGTTTCAGCGAGGGTTTTACCGAGGGTTTTGGACATTTATTTCGTTTTCTTGCGTTAAAAAAACCGAAGGACTCTTGCAGCGCTGTAATAGTGGTGCGCATTTTTTTTTTTTTTTTTTTTTTATTTTAAAGTGCTTTTGATTTCACATATTGCACTGACTAACTATGTATGTCTAATGTAAAACAGGAAAACAATTCTACAACTGCCTTTGGGCTCCCCTTTGTACCGGACTACCAAGCCTTTACAAAGGATACTTTGTTCTAACTACGCTGTAGAACTCCTACGCAGTGTAGCGTAGGCTGAGCCGGAGAAGGTAAGAATCACCACTCGTGAGAGCGGATGAAACTACGGTGCAGTTATGCTGCCTTCGTCCTAAAAATTATTGCAGTTCGAAGAACTAGAGCAATTCTAAATAACTTTCTATCCCTACAGATTTCTCCCGTAACACAATTTTAAGATTTACAAAAGATCCGCAAGGTTTGCCGGACTCCAATGATACCACACACAACTCTACACGACGTTGTGGTGTAAAACTACGTTGATTTCGATGTTAACACGACTTCGAACGTACGTGTAACAATGTACAGGGCCGAAATGTAATTTCGGATCCCTGACTCGACCCGGCCTCGACTTGTATCAAGAGGCGGGCTGGTGATTTTGATGCAGTCCTGAATTCAATGACTCCGCGACTGGTTTTCGACGCAGCTCAGCAACGAGCAAAATCAACAGAATGAACAAACAACCCTCTACACCGAGTATCCTGAACAACACTTTAACACTACAATTGTCTCTTTAATAAGGTAAGTTCCTCTTTCTTTCTTCCTTTTCTTTCCTTTAATCTGATAACTAACTAACTAAAAAAACTTTTTCTCTTCTTTAACTCTTTAACTTTGAAATAGAACACTCGATCTCAACACCTATTTGTTTACTGGACACTGTTAAATCAAAAACTCTAACACAATAACTCAAAAGTACACTTTTCTACGAGCACCAGAACACTTTTTTTTAACACACACAGCACTCAGACACTCAAACTCGCACACATGAACACAGATCCCCCTTCTAGACACCTCTCAAACAGACCCCTTTATATACCTTCCTCTGCCTCCAACCACAACTCGGCCTCAACCCTCGTTCCCCTTGTATTTTTAATTCGCTCCGACCGTCTCCGACCGATTCTTTTCAATTCCGACCGATTCCTTTCTCGCCTCGATCACTTGCTTTTGACTATCAAGTAAGTCTTTGTTTATTTAAACTCTTTTCCTTTCTCATTGTTCTATTTTACTAATTGAATTCTTTCTCCTTGTTAATTCCTTCCTTTTTTTAGTTCTATCTCGACCTTGGCTAGCTCGTCATCAATTCATTGGTTCTATATCTGTATCTTGTCATCTGATCTTGAGATTCAAACTCCGAACGATGTTCATTTAGTAAGTTGTTTCTATTTTCGATTTTTATCCTCCTTCCGACTGTTTTACATATGTAATACTGATTGATGGTTTATTTATTGATTTACTCATGGTCTTGTGTTTCAGCTTGGCGCTTTCAGGCGTTCTAGATCATTTGTAGTTCAACTTTTTGCTTCAATCTCTTATATTTATGGCGTTCAAACATGCGCAAGAAATTTGCAAGTTGCGAGAAAGTTCTGTGCAAGTTCTCTTAAACATCTTGCATAGAACTTGGACAAAACTTGCAGACTTAAGAAAGTTATGTGTGAACCTAGGCTTCCCCGCTTCGAGGACTCAGTTTGCCCTTGATGAGAAAGGGTAAATACATACAGCAGGGGGTTGTGAAAAAATTAATTAGGCAAGATCCGTGCAAGATTTCTTGCACGGATCTTGCACGGATCTTGCACATCAGTTTTGCAAATTTCTTGCACATGTTTGAACGCCATAATTATCTTATCATTGTAAGTGTTTTCTTGTTGATTCTTGTTGATTTAAAATTCAATTTTGGATCTCAATCCTCAGGTAAGTTTGTTCATTCCTTTCTCTTCTATTCTTTTGTTGCTGTTTTTTCTTTTATACTAACCAAGCTTCCTTCTGTTTCAAATTCGTTTTCAGCCCTCAATTTTCTTAGTCCTTTATTTGTCTCTATGAATTTTGATCAGATCTGTTCTTGATTGTTTTAGCTACATCACTAACTTCTATTTAAGTATATATTTTAACTCTATTTGATTACTGTTTGCTATTTATTATGTCTTGATGTATCTTGTTCTCTCTTTTGATGATTGTTTATAAATTGTATGATTCAAATTCAATGTTGATGGATCCATTCAAAAAAAAAAAAAAAAAAACAATAGATAGTTTGTGTGAATGAAAACTGATCTGTAGGAGATGAAAAAAACTGTGAGTTTGAAAAGATGGTACCATAAGTCCTGGAGAAATGGAAGATGAAAGATTGAGTTTTGATTATGCTGTAAGGTATAGTGAATTAAGAGTGAGTTGATCTTGAACAGTCTAAGGATTTGATTACCACAACGCGACCAAAAAGATATACAAGGCAATTAAATGGCATAGAAAAGAGAATAGAAGAGTGAATAGAAACTATAGCATAAATGATTAAACACGTGTTGGTTTTTAATTATCTAAGTATGTTTGTAGATGAAGAAACCTCCCTGTCTCTTGAATATATTGAGCTAGGTATGGATATGCTTTTGGTGTGTCCAAGAGTTTTGTTGCTGAGTTGATGTCTACCTTGATTTTTTCTTCCTTCAGTTTGATTCTGAATTTGTGTCGTTGTTTTGTGTACTTCTTGCAATAGATTAAGAAGTGCGCTGGTGTTTCTACTGCAGTACAGGTTTCACACTTGTTGTCTTCTTCCACCCCTATTCTATGTAGGAATTTCTTCAATGGGCAATGACCGCATCGTAGTTGGAAAATCGCCGCCGCCTGTCCTTTCTCGAGTTTATTCAGTGCATCAGCAATCCATTTACTTTTTGTTTTATATGACTTGTTAGAGACAGCTCCCCTTTTATTGAACTGCTTTCGAGTTTGTCTTAGCAATCCTCCTAGGCTCATTGGGAGCAACATGGGTTCTGTGTTGCCTTCTGCTGCCTCCCGCGCTGCTTGATCGGCTTCCTCATTCAGTTCGATTCCTTCGTGGCCGGGAGTCCAGTACAGACGTAAATGATATCTTTTGGGAAGTGTCTTGTAGGTTTTCAAAAGGAATCGTGATAGATATTGGAGCGTTTTGGGCTGTGTTGGCTTCGCTAGTAACTCGAGTGCTGCCTGGCTGTCACTAAAGATTGCAACGGAAGTGTATTTGTTTGGATTAATGTCAGCTGCTTGTTTAAATTGTACCAAAGCTATCATGAGGGCCATTGTTTCCATTTCGTAGTTTGATACTCCATCTATTGGGCCATACGCATGACTTGCAGTTCGCCCTTCCATTGCAATTGCTGCACCTGCCCCTACATCCTCTATGTAAGATCCGTCTGTGAAGATGATACAAGCGTCTTTTTTGTTTTCTTCCCTGATCTGGTCTGGTATCTTTTCCTTGACCTTTTGTCGTTCGTCCCCTAGATTCTCGATCTGCCAACGTGGCTCTTCCCACGGGGGCGCTGGGTAGGGGTAGATAGTTTCTAAAATATTCGTATGGTGTGAAATTATGTCAGCCTTTCTGAGCAATCGGTGAATCGGGCTTTTGTGCGTAGCTGGTTCATTTAAGAGTTCGTGTTGAAGTATTCGTCTTGATGGGTGAGAAGTCGGCGCTGTGAGTCGTTTATATATGTAGTTATGGTGATACCGTATGGCTAGATCTTTAAAAGTTAACATATCCGCATCATGATACATCTGGTCTGTTGGTGAGCTTTTGAAGGCTCCCAGGATTAGTCGATTTGCCGCATTTTGTAATAGATGAAATATTTTTGACACTTTACCTTCCGTTCGTGTGTTGAACCACACAATGCTCCCAAATAGTATTCTTGGTTTTAATATGGTGGTCACAAGTGTCTTTGTTTCCTTTGGGCTCAGTCCGTGATAACAGCGGCTAATTCTGCTGAGTTGAGCTATTGTTGTTTTTCCCTGTGCTTGCATTCTGTGAATATGAGGCCCATACATGAGTTTGGGGTCCAACCAGAGCCCCAGCCATCTGAGCTCTGTTGTTTTCGGATGTAAGACCTGTGTACCAAATAATAAATGTGGGTTAGTATGTTTCTTATGCATAAAATGCATGACCTGAGCCTTTTTCTGATCAAATATTGCCCCATGTCTGCTTCCCCACTCTAGCGATCTATCCCCTTGCTCCTCCAACTCAAGGATGTTGATGTCGATGTCCTTATTGGCGACGAGGTGTGTTACATCATCAATAAAGCCTAGAGATATTTTATTCGCCTGTAATGAAATTTCAACGTTTATCAGTAAAGAGGAGTTGTAGATTATGTATAATATCACCGATAGCGGTGACCCCTGTGGGAGCCCGTCTTCTATGTTGAAGTCTTCAGACAAAAAGTCTTGTAGTTGTAGGTTTGTTGATCGGTCTTCCAGGAAGGCCCCTGTTTGGTGTATGAGGTAGCTTGGAAAACCGTTCATCTCGAGTGTGTGCAATAGACGTTTTCTGTGGACTGAAGGATAAGCAGATTTGACATCTAAGAACAGGCCTGTCACTATCTTGCCTTCTCGCCATTTTTGGTGTATCCATGAAGTTAAGATAACAAATGCGTCATCAGTGCTATGTTGACGCCTTCCTCCCATATGGCCCTGTGCCAGTTTTTGGTGAGTTTCGGCCCAGTGTGCAATCCGTCGAGCTAGAATTGTTTCTAGTATTTTTCCTAGGCAGCTTAATAACGCTATTGGACGATACGCATTTGCCTCTGAGTAGTCTTCCTTATCGTGTTTTCTCAGTATAGCTGTAGTTGCTGTTCTCCATGATTTGGGGAAGTAACCTAATTTCAGACAAGCATTAAACATGTATTGGAGCTTTGGGATAAGAAGACACTTAGCTAGTTTCAAGATCTCATTGGGTATTCCATCACCACCTTTTGCCCGCTTGGAGGGTAGGTTCTTCACCACTTCTTCGATCTCGTATTCCGTTATTGGAGGGAATTCGATTTGCTCAGCGGGCATCTGTGTAGGCAGGATATCTGATTCATCACAAAAATTTTGAACTACTGATGTTCCTTTGAAAAGTAACTCAGCTTGTTCATTTTTTTCTGTTGCCAGTGATCTGTCTTGTCGGTACAGTGGTGTTACTGCGTTGGTTTCCTGTGGCTGGGTATATTTAAATGCTTTGAACAACAAGCTACCATTGGACTTAGCTAGAAAGGTCCTCCAATGATTTCTTTTTAAATCATTTACCACCTTCTTTACATGAGCGTTCCACTCCCAATAGCACCGCTTTGCGTCTTGAGTTCCACTGATGATCATCCACCTACGTGCCCTGTTTCGTTCGCGGATGATGGGGCCCAGTCTTTCTTCATCCCACCACGCTTTGTGTCTGTGAGCAGCGGTGTTTACTATTTTTCCTTGTCGAAGAAAAGCGCCGTTTATCGCATCTGTAATGTGTTTCACACCTAGTTCAATTTCTTCTGAAGATCCGAATTCTGTTGGGAAAGAACTCAGCTGGTTTTCAAGGTCATCACAAAAGGTTGCCTTCTCCATTGTTTCGTATTTAGCCGAGTTGTGAGTTTGCGTAGGTAGCGGTTGATCTAAGCTGATTTCAGTGATGAGAGTTTGATGATCCGACCCATAACTATTACTGCTTGTTTCTCCGTTCACTTGTTGCTTTGTAAGTTCAAAATTTATCCAGGTAAGGTCTAGGGTTGTTGGACTTGTTCTTGATCTTGGGTAGAAAGTTGGTATGTGCTTCTGTGAAATGATCTTGAACCCTGAGCTACCACAAATCTGTATGAGATCTTTAGCTTTTGGATGAGTGTGTCGATAGTTGGCTGGATTCCACTCAGGATGGTGTAGATTGCCGTCGATTCCTATCAGCGTAGCTATTTTCCTGTCATTGTGCACAGTTAGCCACTCTTTTAAGACTGGTAGTCCGGTGTTGTGGCTTGGTGGGTTATAGGCCGAGATGATCCATAGTTTTGACAATCTGCCTTGCGGGATTTTCACTTCAATTGCCGTAATTAGTGGAGATCTGCTAGGTAGTAAGGGTATCTTCTTAGACACATAGATACCTGTTCTAATTTTTTCGTTGTATGTTTTTGCTGTGTAGTCGTAAGGGATGAAGTCGTGCCATGCTGGGTGGCTCAATAGTCGTAGTGTGTGTGGATTAATCCATGGTTCCTGTACAATAATTATAGAATATGTTTCATCAGCTAATAAGTTTTGCATCACCGTTTTACCATTGAAACAGTTCAATTGGGCAATTCGGATGGTATTGTTCTCTGTGGGTTGAACGACAATGTCAGTATCTATATGTGCTGGTGCTACTTTTGACGGTAGCTGAGAAGGAGTAGAAAGAGAAGAAAAAGAAGAAAAGGAAGAGGGAAAGAAAGGATTGGAACTTCTTGAATCTTGCATATTGGTGTTTCTTAACATGTTTGAGATGATAATTGTTTTAGACCCTTCGATCTGATTGGGCAGTTGGTGCTTGACGCTGAGTGAGCATACTTCTCATTGGTCTTGTCAATTTGAGCTTCTTGATTTAGTTGCATATCTTGGGCAACACATCTAACACAGTGAGGGTGGACAGTTTCAGAGTCTGGGCAAGTTCTTGAGTCATGTTTGGCACCACACATTTTGCAAAGCAAATCATTTTTACATTGCAAACTGATATGGCCGGGCTCTTGACAACGAAAGCATTGTACCCTACTCTTCTTACATGCCCTAACCCTTAAGCTGTTTCCTTCAAAATATACTGAACCCCGGATCATCTTGTTTGTCAGCTCCTTGTCTAATAAATTTATGATAATGGAACCACTTCTCTGTCCCGTGTGAGGCTTGCTGAGCCAACGAATCGAGTGGATTTTGTCTTCGGGAATTGGGTTCTGTTCAGTTAAAACCTTCTTGATGTTGTCCGCGTTTGTTCGACCATTTTTGATATCATCAATGCTTGGGTAATACTCAATTGGGACCGAGTCGATAACTGCTGGAAAAACTGCTGGAGAAGTAATCAAGTCTGGGTCAGCTAATGTTGTCCAATTGCTTCTATTTTCTAGTAACCATTCAGCTTCAGCTCGTGTGGCCGTAAACAGTTTAATGCTGCCAGATGGTAAGCTTGCCGCCCCTTTGACTTCAAGTTTTTTTCCTGCGATTTTGACATCCAGTCGATTTAATGCGTTGTTGACATGATTTACTATTTCAGTTGATTTTACACCTTCAAAAGGCTTTTTTCCTTCAACACTACGGATCACAACTTGGCTGGGGCGAAAAGCATTAATAATCTTGTTTGGTGGTGGTTGCTGTGGGCTTCGGTTTGGCGTGATCCTCAATCCGTTCATTGCTACCGTAGTCCAAGGCGTAGGCTTCGCCGGTAGGCCATTCTGAGGTGCAGTTTGAGCTAGGTCCGTAGTTCTTGCTTCCATGAATGATTTCATTTGGTTCTCTATCTTATCCAGTCGTTTAGCAGCTTCGTTTGAGACCTTGAGTTGAGACTCCATCGCATTCAGCTTGAGCGCCGTTTCTTCCATTGAAATATGGTGGGAGACAGCAAAGATAAGGAAAAGCCCGATGAATCTTGAAATTTTACGCGAGCCCGCAGTTCTCAAACTGGTGAGAAGCCGAGGGCACTTTGGTGATGCTCTGATCCAGAGCTCCTCAAAACTAGCTTTCTAGAGCAATCGCATAGCTTTTGTGACCTTTTCATTTGAGGCATTCATTTAATTCAGAGAGATGAGCTTGACATGTAAGATACCCCAGCTTGCATAGCTCTTGTAATGTTTGATGAAACATTCTAAAAAGCTACTTTTGAGAAGCTCTGGAGGAGGTAATCTTACAATTATCCTCGGCTTCTC